AGAGAAATAACTTGCATCAAATAGAAGAAGGACTAACGTAGATTTTGATATATTACAGTTGTATTTCACTTAAAAATTCACGGAGATATTAATGTTTAAAATCGGGAGCATATTTCTGAATGTATCTGAAATATGCAAAAAACGGCGTATCAAATAATACTCAAGATTTTCCCGATTGAAATATGCACTATTACCAGTAATTAAAAGACACTTGACAAATTGTTTATTATGAAACAATTAAAGTATTTATTATCTACAAAATACAAGCAAGATTTATTTGTCCGAAATCCGCGTGTGTTCCTGGCACGAATACTTTTCCTTATTTCATGAGACCACTGCATCGCGAAGGATCGTCATGGATCGTTCGTAGTTTCGAATTAGGGCATGCTCTCATGGCAATGGGAGCATTGAATGAATTTTCTAACTTCTGCAACGTTCTGAAATCTTGTTGAAACACCCAAACTCTTTTGCCTTTCTTAATCTTGGCAAGTTCAGAATAAACTGAGAATGAAACACGATCAAACCATACAACTCCATAAGTAAAGACATAACAAGCAACTCCCCAGAGACATCCAACATTTTTGGAACAAAACGTAACAAAATAGAAGCGTTGATACTGTGATGTGTATTTGCAAAAAGCAATATTATTTCCTTCATTAAGGAATAATATCCATCCTGCTCTAAACGAGAAATAATCAACTTTGATTTGAACCCATGAAAAACATAAAAAAGTAGGCTATTTAAGAAAAATTTAAGCGCCTGCCTTGCATGGTCTTTCATGCATGTACCTTTAAGTGTGTAAAGACCTATTAAATACTTGGATAATTACAGACGTTATATTATATATATACATATATATTTCAGGAAACAATGAGTTAAGACTTACATGTAAGATGTCTAAATCTACGCCATATCCCTTACAAACCCTAACGACAATTCGCTGAAATACAAGTTAGCCTGACATGTCATTAAGCCAGCGAACGCTGAAGTTAATATTTGATATGCCGATTTTCGCTAATTTCAGACGCATCGCAAAATATGCTCCCGATTTTGAACATTAATATCTCCGTGAATTTTTAAGTAAAATACAACTGTAATATATCAAAATCTAAGTTAGTCCTTTCTCTATTTAATGCAAGTTATTTCTTTTCGATAGCTTTACTTGTTTAGAAGTTATTACGAATCAAATCGGAGTACTTTTTTTTGGGACACCCGGTATACATATATATATATATATATATATATATATATATATATATATATATATATATATATATATATATATATATATATATATATATATATATAATATTAATGAGACCAAAGATGATCAAATTTTACAGTGTAGAAAGAGTGCTCAATACCATTTAATAACGTAGAGCAAATAATTTAATTTCTTATTATATAGTTAAATTATATAATTAAAATATAGTCACAACTCTGAGTTTCACGCTTAATGCGATCTTCAGGCGACAATGTTTAAATCTCAATAAAAAATTCCTGTATGATTACGTGCGAGTTCGTTAGGCTACTTGCGTGATGGTATTGCGTGCGCACGTTCAAATTTTCCCGCCAAGAATTGTTTCCGGTGGCAACACTTCGAGAATAGCTCACATCTCCTGTTCAGTAATCTTTTCTTATCACCTTTCAAAATTTCGAGTTTCTCTTGGAGGCATAGGTTGCAACTTTATAAACGTACATTCAACATCAAGTGGTCCATTCTGAAGCAAGCATCCTCTTATCGCAGCGGCGCAAAAAGTTGCAACCTATGCCTCCAAGAGAAACTCGAAATTTTGAAAGGTGATAAGAAAAGATTACTGAACAGGAGATGTGAGCTCTTCTCGAAGTGTTGCCACCGGAAACAATTCTTGGCGGGAAAATTTGAACGTGCGCACGCAATACCATCACGCAAGTAGCCTAACGAACTCGCACGTAATCATAGAGGAATTTTTTATTGAGATTTAAACATTGTCGCCTGAAGATCGCATTAAGCGTGAAACTCACAGTTGTGACCATATTTTAAGTTAAGAAATTAAATTATATATATATATATATATATATATATATATATATATATATATATATATATATATATATATATATATATATATATATATATATATATATATAATCAACTGTACAGAAAAGTTTGAATTACCCATAATAGAACTTTAACAGCAATGAAGCTTCTCCTTGTTTCTCATATCTTACTGCAAGATGAAAATGGGCCATAAAAGTTGAGAACACAGATCCCGAAGGCACGTAACCAAGAACTGTATATTCCTTTCCGAAATAATTCTGAGTGTAAGTGGGTAAGTTTATCCATAGACAGATTGTGAACGCAGAAAGTGTGGATGGGATAGTTGCAGACGTAGATTTAAGACCAATGCTTCCTTTAAACGTCAAGTCAAAATTACCTAAATAGAAAAAACGTTTAATTAATTAAAACAGGATGGTTTGAAAAAAGCTGTGCTACGTACTGCCGACATGAATCCGAATCAGTAGAGAAAATAATATATATTAATTAGTTCGAATTGTAAATGTTGACAAAATACAGTACAAGAATAATTCAAAAAATAGTTTCATAGAAGTTTAGACACTTACGACTGCATTTTTTGTTTTTATTTGGTACCATACCAGACGGACATTCCAATACGCAGTCTTGACCATTTTTTGCATACTTGCACGAATAACATTCAGATGGTAGCGGTGTATTTCCTGCTGGTGGACGACAACCTAAAAGGAAACAGGATATAAGAAATAGAAAACGTGGAGCCTGTGTCTCTATGGTGTGCAAACGGACAAGGGGAATGTTTGGGGAATACGAGAGAAGCGTGTAATTCTGTCGATTCGTTCGGATAACTCAATAAAACGCAATATAATTTTAAATCATCGCGTTCGTTTTAGAATATTTTTAGTAATTTTACACTCTTTTCCAAGAATATTTTTAGTAATTTTACACTCTTTTCCAACCATGCACCCTCCATCAATCATCAGACAGATACTACAGTCCATTAACGGACGAACTTCGCAGCTATCATCGAATCAAGCAGCTTTTGACACATCTGTCCCACTATAGGAAAACGCTATGTTTGGGGAATTGATAATTTTGTAATAAAAGTGATATTTTTAGGGGTTTTTTATTTGTGTCATTTGTACTAATATTCTTTACAAAATTATCGTGTTATCATGACAACTACTTTTATAATACTTCACGTTCGGAAAATACAATGGTTTTGTCAGCAAGGCGAGGGATTTCTGCATGCATGTATTTTCCAGTTTGTAGAAATTATGGCTGAGAGCCATGACTGATGGCTCTAGCTCATGGTATAATTGTTAAATACTGCAACTTTAATAGACCAGTTTAGAATTACGATTTGCTTGTCAAGAACAATAACGCCAGATCGAGGCTTAATGCTAATATGCTACAGAAAATAAAAATTATGCGGGAAGCCTCGTTTTCATGCAATTGTCTGTGGGCATTCGATTCGGAAATGGCCTCTTGGGCGAATGGCCCTCATAATTATATGGTATTGCCACTAACGTTGTTCTAGTGTACAGATGTAACATATGCATTTGATCCGCTGTCTATGCCTTCAATGTCCTGTTATTCCTGCATTTTTAATATTTTAAAATTACTATTAATAAAAAGAAATATATGTAAAGATTACCTCCTACTTCATCACAAGCTTGATGGCATGGTTTTCTTACACAAAAATGTCCAGCTGCATCTAGCACGGTACCTCCTTTACATTCTTGTGTCAAACCAGAACGTGGCATAACTTGTACATCCATGATTGTAACATCATGTTCTCCATTTCCAAACGTATAAAATCGAGCATGGATCGGATTTGTACGATCGATTATTGTTAGATAATTATCACCAAAGTTAGTATTTGCTTGCGTCTTACCATACTCGATGACTGTACTTTCTGGTGCCTCAGTTAGGCATGCATAGTAAGATTGATATAAATTGCTTGAACCAATAGACACAGCATTTTGATTTAGTGAATAATCTAGGATCTTGTTACCCTAATGCCAAGAGAAAAATAATGAAAAATTACTTCGAATTCGAAGCTATCTGCCACAGCGGAGCCGGCGATGTGTTTTGTAGATGACATATTGTTACGTAAATTTTCTATACAATTTTAGACCTAATCAGGAGCAGTTGCAAAAAATCAGTCGGGCAGATAGAAGGAAAAAACTTACGATATCGTGGGACAATTCCATTTTGCCTTCATATTGTGCCCTGAAGGCTAGTTAGTACGTTTCTGTATGTTGGCCGCGTTAAAATTTCTTGTTGGCTCCTGCCGACACGTTTTTCTTCGAATGTTGTATAAAACTCTATTACAGTTAAAAAATTTGAAATTTCTGATACATTTCTAATACATTTGACTTGCATCATTTAAAAGCTTGCAAAAAACTACATATAAGACATTTAAACGGTTACCCGGGTTTTTCAAGTTCTTCTTGAGTTATGAGCTGTTGAATGCGTGTTTTCAGACTAGTACCCAGGAATTTTGCGAGATTTTGGCTTATTTTTCACATTTGAAACGGCAATAACTCGAAAACCGCTTAAAAATCCCAACTAACCATTTAAATGTCTTATATGTAGTTTTTTGTTAGCTTTCTATTGATGCAAGTCATTTGTATTAGAAATGTATCAGAAATTTCACATTTTTTAACTGTAATAGAGTTTAATACAAAATTCGAAGAAAAACGTGTCGGCAGGAGCCCACAAGAAATTTTAACGCGGCCAACATACAGAAACGTACTTACTAGCCTTCAGGGCACAATATGAAGGCAAAATGGAATTGTCCCACGATATGGTAAGTTTTCCATAATTTTGGTCCTCTATCTGCCTGACTGAACCTTTGAACCTTTCCGAGACAAAATTGTGGTTACAGTACTCATTACTTTTTTGGTAACTTATATATTTTTCAAATTTTTACTGCTGACGGCCACTTTCCATTACTACATTACTATAGGATTGAATTAACGCTATTTTTTTAACTTTTTTTTATAGAAAACATGTAGTTCGTTTTCGTTCCCACATTTCAGAGTGCTGTTCCCGCGGTGGGATACTGACTATTTAAGCTATATTTATATATATATATATATATATATATATATATATATATATATATATATATATATATATATATATATATATATATATATATATATATATGTATATATACAGGGTGTATCAAAATAAACGCAATTCATCTTTTGTGCTTAATAACTTTCGAAATACTATTTCTAGTTGAACGCTTTTAGGCTTACTTCAAAGCCTGTTCTTTCCTCTTTCAAACAAACTATTATCCTTGTCTCCAATGCTATTAATAATTGCACAGGAAAAGATTTAGTAAAACCTATCATTTTTAGTTGCTGTTTAATTATGCAAGTTTACTATGTTATTGTTTTGTCGGTTTAAATGTTAGAATTTTCTTCTTTAAACTTTAATGTTGTTTGATTTACTTGAAAGCCTGGGTTGGAAACACCTAGAACTAAGGCGAACTAATCAAAAATCTGTTTTTATGTATAAAATTCTGAATAACCACACCGCACCAAATCTAAGAACATCCTTTCGATTGAATAATGAATGTGATAATACCTATGATCTTAGAAATAGAGAAACCGATTTGTCTCTTCCTAAACCGAATACCGATTCCGGTAAAAGATGCTTCAAATATAACGGAGCGGTAGTATGGAATAATTTACCGTATGAGGTAAAAGTAGCGGAATCTTTAAGTTCTTTTCAAAGAACTATTAATCAGGCAAACAATTAAAATTGGCTCGTCCTGTTGCCTGCTGTATATGTAATTCTTCTTTCTTTGTTTTTGTATTCTTAATGTATATTTCTCCAAATCACGCCCCTCATGGAAATCAGCTCCTAGTTGTTGAGGCCAGCGTGCCTAAATAAATTTTTGTATGTATGTATGTATGTATTGTCTCGCCAGACTATAGGTCTGTTTGGACGAACAGAACGTGTACAAACAAGAACGTCAAAATTCATCCTGAACCTTCCCTACTTGTGCGACGAGTCATATCGCGACAGGCTGATAAGTTTGACACTGATACCACTACTATACTGGCACGAGTATATGGATCTTATATGTTCTTCTTTGAAGCTGTAAATGGTCAGCTCAACGTATCTAAAGATGTTCTCCGTCAACCTATTATTCCTACGCGAATAACCCGATCATCTATAGTACCATCGATTTGTTGTTCAGTCCACAAAAATTAAGGACTACCACCTTCAAAATATCTTATTTTACCCGAGCAGCAAGAGTTTAGAAAAGTCTTCCAACGACAACTAAGTCATTCTCGGAATATGGATGTGGCCAGAGCCCCTCGTCGCACCGCGCGTAAGAAGGGCTCTGGGTACGAGAATGCAACTAAGTATGTTGTTAAATACATTTAAAAGATTGCTCCGGAACTATTATTTGAAAGCCTTACATAGTTGTTAGGATGCAGAGTATCCAAAAACGTGGAAATCTGTGTGTTTAAACTGTTGTCGTAGTTTGAACAAATTGTTGTTTCTAGTTATTATGTTGTTTCTAGTTATTATCTGGTTGTTTCTAGTTATTATGCAATGCAATGCATCGCATCGCATCGCATCGCATCGCATCGCATCGCATCGCATCGCATCGCATTGCATTGCATTGCATTGCATTGAATACATGTCATTTTGGGTTAATTTATCAAATGGCGAAGTTATATAAATAAATAAATAATTGTTGTTTCTAGTTATTATGTTGTTTCTAGTTATTATCTGGTTGTTTCTAGTTATTATGCAATGCAATGCATCGCATCGCATCGCATCGCATCGCATCGCATCGCATCGCATCGCATCGCATTGCATTGCATTGCATTGCATTGAATACATGTCATTTTGGGTTAATTTATCAAATGGCGAAGTTATATAAATAAATAAATAATTGTTGTTTCTAGTTATTATGTTGTTTCTAGTTATTATCTGGTTGTTTCTAGTTATTATGCAATGCAATGCATCGCATCGCATCGCATCGCATCGCATCGCATCGCATCGCATCGCATCGCATTGCATTGCATTGCATTGCATTGAATACATGTCATTTTGGGTTAATTTATCAAATGGCGAAGTTATATAAATAAATAAATAATTGTTGTTTCTAGTTATTATGTTGTTTCTAGTTATTATCTGGTTGTTTCTAGTTATTATGCAATGCAATGCATCGCATCGCATCGCATCGCATCGCATCGCATCGCATCGCATCGCATCGCATTGCATTGCATTGCATTGCATTGAATACATGTCATTTTGGGTTAATTTATCAAATGGCGAAGTTATATAAATAAATAAATAAATAAGTAAACGGATATTGAACAGTTCAGGTGTCGTAGACTCTATTTTAACTGCTTTTAGATAGAATACTATTATTGTCAAATTGAATTGGTCCTGAAGCCCGGGACTGATACAGAGTGTATAAAAAAAACTGAACTGATTTAAAATTGCTCTCAATTTCGCAAAACAGCTATTTGTATCTATTTTTTATATATATAGTCTCTTTGCGTACTTATAATGTAGAATAATGAGAAAAATTTCTCGAATTCAAATTTTGTGGAACCAGGGAGGTGTGTCATTTCCAACAAACTAAAAATGGCTCGCGCACAAAATTTAAAAGCTGCAATCATATTTTGAGTTAACAAATGGAAATTTGTCGGGCTTTTGATTATTGTACAAAATATCAGACAATTTGGTTTAGTTTAAGCCCCTTAACTATTCAGGCAAAGTTACATTTTTCCTAAAAATCAGCTATTTGCATGCTTAATTATGTATTTACCTAATTTGCATATACCAGCAATATTCAAATTAGGTAAAGGCATTAATTAAGCATGCGAAAGGCTGACTTTTTTAAACAGAATGAGTAGTTAAAGGGCTTAAACTAAACCAAATTGTCTGAAATTTTGTACAGTAATAAAAAAACCGACAGATTTTCCACCTATTAACTGAAAATATGATTACAGCTTTTAAATTTTGTGTGCGAGCCATTTTTATTTTGTTGGTAAAGACACCCCCACCCCCCACCCCCCCC